CCCCCCCACACACACACACACTCACTCTCACACAATACACACCACACAGGAACCAAACAGGCAAGTGCGGTTGTCTCCCTCTGTGTACATGGTGAAATGTTGGCTGCTTTTGATAATACATTTCATGTAGCACGTTTTTGCTTCTTGCTGCTTCTTTAACGCCTGCTTGTACGCTGATCTAAGGGAAATTTTGGAGAAAAATCTTTGCTTTTTGTGTCGTAGAAAGGGATCTTCGAAGATTAGAATTAATTGTCATAATTGTTTCATAATAGATTTCAGGTATTCATGATAGTTGTTTGAGGCAGCTAGCTCCCAGAGTGTGCAATTTCTCTCGAAATGTTTAATTTTTCTCTTTGCGATCCTGATATTGTTCTTGAGGGTGGTTGGAGGGTGCCACTGGTAGGTCTGGTAGGTCCTACTTCTTTTCTTGCCCTCTGTTGTTTCTGTCCTATGTTTTCCCTGCGTTAAATAATAGTTGTTGTGTCAATGTGCTTCTCTTTTCTCCATATAAAAAAATAGACACTGTTTGCTTTTCCCTTTATTTCTTAATATTTTTTTTTCCTTTCGTCCAATTGATAGAAATATAAAAAAAAAGAATTACTGGCTCGGTTGTTTAAGAAGCGCTGTCTCGTATCCCAGAATACTCATCAGTCCATGCAAGAGAAGATATACCGTGAACTGTGAGGGAGAAATCACTACACACTTTCACAGTGGTGTCAATCACTCAAACTTTGTCCTCGGAAAGCTCTATGCAACAAGTGATAAAAAGCTTGCTTTTTTTTACCGGAACTTGAAGATGGTTGCGTCTGGAAAATGAGACTTTTGTTTCACTGCGGCAGATGATTGCTTTTGGTGTACAATAGTTTTGTCATTGTGAAGAGACTTTTGTCAAGGATGTGATTAATTTGTCCTCACCAGGCAGAATTGTGAGAGTTGTGCAAAGTTTTATCTTAAACAATCCTTCGCAAGTGTATATAGTCTAGCACGCACTTAGCGAAATCAGCAGCATGCGGAAGTCTTTTTCTAATACATGAATGAATTTTGCTGTGTACATGTTTTGAATTTAAAGAATATAGTGCAAAAGCAAAAAATTTGGTACCTTATCTGTTCGCCATGTGCATGTTTCGCTAGGTGTGTGTCTGCTAGGTGCGTGTTAGACTGTGTATATTATGTAGAAGTTTGAACAGACCAGACTCTTTAGAGCAAGTCAGTCTACATCTGTAAATGCAGCCATGTGTACTTTTTAAAACGGTGGTTATACATAGTGTTCAGCTGGTGTGTAAAGACAAATGCCGAATATGCAGAATTCCTCTTTTTGTAAGTAATAAATTGTACGATATGTTTGTGAATACAACTGGAAAAATGTAAATCTTGGCCCATAGGCTAGTTTGAGCATGATTTAATTTGTGATTATTTATTCTCAGCTGTAATATTTTCTGCACCGTTTGCTACTCCACAAATATTGTGGGTGTTCTCAGGGGCAAAGGGAAAAGCATGAAATAAGAAAAACACAATTTTGTTATAAACCAGAACTTGGCAAATCCACAACTACTGGAGGTCTTAAATATATTTCTTGTTCAGAACGAATGGGCTGGATGAGTACGTAAAGATTTTAGAATCTGTTATACTTGAAAAGAAAAGAACTAAGAATATGTAAGCCACATTATGGTGATGCAGTCTAGTTTTGAGTTGAAGTCTAGCTCACTAGCTTGTATATTGGGTGAATGAAAAAGGAGCTTATGTGAATGAAAAGGTGTTAAAATACTTTTTGTTTCAAAGTAATAGATGGAAAAATATCTCCTCAGGTAATGATATAGAGGGGTCTTGGGTTTTAGTTCATTGTGTGAAAGTGGTTGGGGCTAGGTCAGTGTTGCTGTTGTGATGTAGCATAGATGGTTGACACAGGTTTACCAGTACTGGCTTTTAATCTTTGATTTTGTGGTACTCACAATGGGCAAACAAAGACTGCCATTTATGATTTAATGACAAAAGGAATACATATAATGAAATATCTTCTGGTCATAGTCCACTGTCTAGTACTTTTGCCTCTGACATTCCCCCAATATTATATCATCGGCAAACTGTTAAAATGTTCTAAGCCCAGAAAGCAAATTCTTTCAGGAGAGTGAAAAGCTGTTTCCTTCTTTTAAAAATTGAACCATATTTATGTTATGCATCTTTTCTTGCTCTTTTCAACAACTGGAACTTGAATTTCGACAAAATATTTTTTGAACTCATCATGCAACAAATACCACATATTAAGAAACTGCAGTAAAACAATTTTTCAAAATTTTGGGCTTAGTACATTTAGGCTGCTGGCCAAGGATGTGGAGGGTGTTTTTGCTACTTACAAACTTAGTTTGAGTCACAAAATCTTGTACAGCCCAAGACAAAAACACACTTAACGACGTGCAATATGGTTGTGCTTTCATTTATAAACTCTTGTGTTTCCTCCTCCTCAAGTCTTTTCCTACTTTTACTGTGAGCCACTCGTCACTTCAAGTCTTTCTTTTCAACATCTGTTTCTGTTCTGAGTACTATACCTCATTAGGGTTCTATGTCAACAATCTATTTGTCTGCGATATTCATTTTGATTTTTTGGGGGGAGGTTTTTTTTTTCTCTATTGTACTGCCCTCCTTAAAATTCCTATATCTTTGAATATTGCAAGCTGAGTGCTATCTTGTAGTTTCATTTTCCAACTACTTGGAGGATTTGTCACAGATGTCAAGGCTCTTGGAAAAATATTCCCTCTGAGCCCCAAATTATTACTGTTGATGTCTGTGCTCCTTTATATAAAAGATGTTACTTTCATTTTGTTCTGGCTCCAGTTTTTGAGACTGGAGTTTTATGTTTTTCTAAGTGATTACATCTAAACTGGAAAACAAAAATTTGAGGTAGTACTACAAGATAACACTGAGCTTGTGGTGAAAACATTCTGTTTTCATTTTGTTCCTCTCCCTTATATACATTGTACTGTGTGAAATGCTGTACATTTGTGAGGCATTCGGACAAAATGAGCTACTTCCTGGACTTTTGGACATAGATACATGAAATTTATTGGTTGAGTCTGTACAGTTACAAGAATGAAATAATGAAAGATATTTCAAACTTGAAGAAATTGGCATTGGTCGAAAATCTACAAAATTGACCCTTGTGTCGATTTTGGGCTGATATCTCCATTTTGACTGCTTTGTGAAAGACTGTCATAACACGCCATTTAGAAATGTATGATGGAGTCTTACACTGTGCAGTCGATTTACAGATTGGAATAGGTAACTCATTTTGTAAGCACACCTCACATTTTCTGTTACTTCGTTACCTTAGAATTACAAAGTTCTACCCGCTCAGTGAGAAATTTGACGTCAAAGAGTTTCAGAACATGTCAAGCTTTTTCAAATGCAGTTCGTTGAATATCTTGATAATGGCTCTGAATAATGTTATGATTTTGATAAAGCAGATAGAATGTTTCGTTTTTGACCGTATGGTCTTAGTAACTCAAAACGGCCGAAAAATGTTAAATCGAACTTTGTAATTCCAAGGTATCGACTTGTCTATACCGAGTTTTCGGAAGGATTGTTATGTGTGTGACGTAAATCTATTTTACTAGTCACGACTCTCTCAGTGGTACACAAGTTACTGGAGCTTTTATTATTTTTAAGCCTGGGAGGCTTTTACTACTTTTAGTCTTGGTAGTGAGTTCCCATTTGTAGAGGCTGGTGAAACTTGCTGTTTTGCTTATAAAGTCATTGCCGGTGACTTGATTGTCATATCAGTATGCTGTTTTAATATTTATTTAGATTGGTCGAGTGTGTGAGATACTTTAAATGTGTAAATGTTTAAATGAAGGAAAGCTAAAAACAGATTTTTATGGATCGGATGTGTTGGTGGTTGGCGGCACCACCTTTTTCAGCATGAAATAACGGTTACTTTTGGGATGTGCTTCTATTTACTCAAACGAACCAAAAGAGAAGAATGATCTCTCTCACTGATTGTGAAGTAGAATTGACTGGAAATCTTTGGAAGATTTCGGAGTTAGTAGGCATACTAGTCATTGTTATTTAATTAGCACAAAAGGACTTTGGAAGTGTATTGAAAACGGAAAGGACAAAGTATTTTTTTT